CCCCCCCGCGCTCACGAGGAGCTGGAAGAGCCGTAACGGGGCCTCGCCGAGGATTAATCGAGGAGTCTTTGGCTAATAGACACCACGTCCGATTAATAATCCTTTTTATAGCTCCCCCGGGTTTTCAGGGGTTTTCGGTTTCTTGTGTTTTTTAGGGAACCCACCACCACCGCTATTTGGATGGAAATTTTTTAATTAAAACCGCTCAAACAGAGGAGTACATTCACGAAATTCCTATGTAAGGCCCAGTGAGAATGAACGGCTTCTAATTCCCGCGAACCCTTTCAATTACAGCCCAAGAGAGATCATCCCCGATAGTACGCGCTTGCGTGCACCGCGTGCGAAACCACATCTGCTGGGTCCCCCTCTTTCTCCGTTTTGCCTAAAAGACCACGGGAGAAAAAAATACGCGTATACCTCTACACGTGTGCGTATGCGCACTGTTGGGAAGTTTTTTTTTTCTTTTTCTTTTTTTTTCTTCCCCAAGCACCATCAGCACCTTAAAATAAACCAAAGTAAAATACGTGCCCTTGCAAAGATATACAGAAGAGTCCCCTCGGCCTCCCCCTCAGAGGGTTAATCCGGTGTAATCAATTTCGTCCTAATTGGGGATTATGCGGAGGCCCCGCGTTAATAGATTAATTTATTAGGCGAAAGCCCTCAAAGGGACCGCCGTGGACAGCCGCAGCTACGTGGCACTTAAGTATATATATATATATATATACACATATACATCGTTAAGACGCTGCGATTCCTTGGAGTCGGTGCGCGGCGGCGATTTTAATACCACACCGGCTGCCGAGATATCGCGATATCGGCAAGCTTTTGCCCTCCCCTGCCCCGCTCGCTTGATTAATCAGTACTGTTTTTTGTTTTCGGCTCGCTACTCGACAGAGGCGACGACGCGCGTAGGAAGACCTTTTTTTTTTTTCCTGCCGCGTATACGCGGTACACCATACACCTACCGATACACTTTTGGTATAAATTAATTGTTCGCGAGCGTAGCTGATAGTATATTACACGTGCTGCCCAAGTAAGACGCTGCGATTTATCTTTTCCCGTGAGCCGTAGATTGTTGGGCTTTATTGGCGCGATACCGATATCGGCGTAATATACCGATCTTCGATGGCCGATAGACTCTCGAAACAACTGCATCCGGGGCTTCTGTTCGCTAAATTATCGATTGCGATGTTGCCAGTGTAGCCGACCGGTAAGACTCTCGGTGATTCGCATTTAATGTGCTTTTTGACGCAATATTCTCACTTTGGCTTACAAAATTGAAGGCAAGCGATCTCTCGAAAAAAAAGGCTCATCGCTCTCCCCTCGTAAAGAGCCTCGTGCATCGGCGGAGGAGCTGGAGGGCCAATTTGCAAACACGCAGCGCCAAAGTTTAGTTTTATCTCTCGGTACGAGCCGTGAAATTGGGCCCCGATGCCGGCATCTCCATAAATCCGGTGGCTGGGCGTGTCATTAACGCCGAATAACGAAGCGATATTACGTTTTCTGCGGTCGCTGCTTGCCTCGCTGCCGAGCGCGCGTGCCTAGCTCCGAAATAACGGGTTAGCCTCTCTTCTTTATTCCCTACATCTCCCTCTTCGTCTGTGCCGCGGTTATCCTCTTCTCTTCCGTTCCCCATGTGTGTACACGCGTGTATAACTATATCATGTGTGCTCGCGAGGTGTGGGTATAGTATATATATATAATATCTCATGGTCGAGAGCTGATGCTCGCCCCCTCGTCTTCCTTTTTTGTTCTGCGCTGCTTTCGCGGAAATATATAAATATGCACGCGATTACAACGCCACGCACCCTACAGTGCGGGGAAAATCAACGCAGCGTTGCACTTATTTTCTTTTTTTTTTTTTTTTCTTTTTTTTTTCCTTGGTAAATCATTGGAAAGTCGAGGTATCTTGCATAAAGCAAAATTTTTGCAACATCTACATGATTTAAGCGAAAAGAAAAAGAAAATTCTAAAAAAATGTCACAGGTCACCACCCAGATGTTTCGAATTCTTTCGACTGTAACCGTTAACGTCAGGTCTCACTGGTGAGTACGAACTGTTCGAAGTAGTGTTAGTTTCAGTTTCGATCCCCCTCGATAAAAGGTACGGCAGTTCTTCCATACGTGCCTTACCACCAAAGCTACGCCGGCCAACGGAAGAAATAAAGAAATACATGCATTGTGACAAAAAGTAAAATGCTCTCTTTGACAATCATACATATGCAAGATCTTTCAGGAGAGAGGGATGGGGGGGGGGTTTGTTTGTCGACAAGCAAAGTTTAGAGAAGAACAGAAAAAAAAAAAAAAAAAAAAAAAAAAAAAAAAAAAAAAAAGAAAAGAAAATTCGTCGTCCAAACGAAATATTGAGCGCCGGACAACAAGCTCGAGAGAAANTATTACTTATTTTCATAAAACTACAATTTTGTAATACTTAGGTATATTCCATTTTTGGGTGCCATAAGTGAAACGTTGCTATCTTTTTCGTAAGTCAAGTCAGTTTTTTCACATATTTCAAATTTAAACTTTTGTAAGACAGTAGCAAGACCTACTTTTGTCTCGTTCAGAGCAAACCTTTCCCCTAAAATGCAAAAGAAAAATCTTAATAGTCCTCAAAAAATATCATATTCACGTGGATTACCTATGCAATTCCTTGGTCCATCTCCAAAAGCCAGGAAACTCATATCATGCCTTTTACTGGCCACTTGCTCGTCAAACCTTTCTGGATCAAACTTCTCAGGATCGGCATGAATATTTTTATCGTAATGTATAGCATGAGTAGGAATGAAAATATTCGTATATTTTGGAATTTGAATTTTCACGTCCTTAAGAATAAACGTATGATCCTCCATAGACTTTCTGGTTATGACGAATGCAGGTGGGTACATTCTCAACGTTTCTACGGTATGATCAATATTGAAACATTTTAATGCGTGTTTGTGTGTATAATAACAGTGGAAAATATTTTCCCAATGATTATAACGTAATAGGTATCACAGCCAACCTTTAATTACTTTGTCCATGTACTTCATATTCTTTATGTTGTCGTAATTCAACTTCCCGTTATTATTCTCAAACGTTGTTTTGACTTCATTTCGTAGTTTATCTTGTACATCCAAATTTTTTGCCAACTCATACATGGCGTGGCTCATAGTGGCAGACGAGGTTTCGAATCCAGCGATGAAAAATATAAATATTTGTGCTGTTATTAGCATATCCGTCATTTCTAAAGTCAACAAATGTCGATGCGGAAAAGCTGATTAATTAAACCTCATCTTTTTATAGCAGGACTGTTAATTAATAATAAGAGATATATATATATATATTTTTTTTTTTCAAGTCCCGGCTCACCTTCGTCGTGAATTTCTTTCGGATCATTCTTTATGTCCATCAACAGATCGACGAAATCGTTCCTCCTCGCAGTGCTTTTTGCTCTGCGATCCATTGTTTGTTTCACTGTGTTGATGAAAAAGTCGACAGTTCCTTTTTCGTAAATGAAAGGCTTGACCAATCGAGCCAGCCAATGGGGAAGTATTTTGAGTGACCTTCTCAGCCGGTTGTGCACAGTATTGGCAAACAGGCTCCTGCCGATTTTGCGAAATTCGCTATCCTCGTCGGATATTGCATTCATATTTAATCCGAAAACGCATATTCCAATCACGTCAGTCGTGTATTTGGCTGTGACCTCACAGCACTCAATGGGCTCGCCCTTGATCACTGAAATATTTCAATCACATCGCATACGAAAAACATTTGACAAATTATTTACTTGGTTTACCTAATTTTTCGAGATATTTTTCGAAACGATCTGCGCACTCGAGGATCAGATAAAACATCTCTCTGAGCCTTCCCGAAGTAAAGGTCGGCGTGAGCCTCTTGCGCAGTGGTTTCCAGCGTTTTGGTTCGAGGAACAATAAATTTTGAGTCATCGGGTCTACGTCGTTGTAAACTTTGACACCTCGATCGGCAAAAATCGGGAAGCTCTTTATCATCACATCTTTGATAATTTCCAAGTCTTTGATGAGGAGTATCTTCGACCTGCCCATGAAGAGTCCAACCAGAGGCTCGTCAGGATAGGCATCGTAGATGGACTTGAGATAATCCGCAAAGTGTACTTTGCGCAGTAGGACATCTTTGAAGGTGCCAAAAAATACTATTGGCTCGGGACCGGCAATGCCACGTTTTTTCCAATAGTAAAAGTTTTTTGTCAATTTAGAATAAACATAAACCAAAATCAACACCACCAGGAGAAAAATTTCAACCGAACCAGCACTCATGCCTCGGCAGTTCTAAAGTTAAACGTGACTTTTTTTATTTTTGATACTTCATTAAAACTCAAATACACATGTACCTCCTCGTGTTTACTCAATGAGAATAAAGCAAGAGCCAATTTATTCTTATCACTGAAGCGAACTCGTGTTTCACTTTTTTTATAAAACTGTTGTTTACATCGATAAAGGAGAATCCAATGAATTATGAAAAATACTTTTAGTAGGCTTGATAACGTAAAATTTTTATTATTTAAATAAACTATGACAAAGTTACATATTGTGACGTATATCTACAGAAAAAGTACGAATTTCCAAGTCATCTGATGATCCGACGAACGATAATAAAATGACTCGACTCATTGATTTTTTCCTCCGATTCAGCGCTCGGTTTTACAAAATTTACGTTAACCATTTCTTCGAGCGAGACACTCGATTACAGGTGAGAGGAAATAAACCACCAGAGGATTAAATTAAAACGATAAAAGAGTTACCTCACTCACTTCTCGGACTTTTTTTTTCGTATTCTGTTTCGTTCTCTTTTCACGTTTGTTGTCCATTCATACGAGGTATAGACGCGAGTGGCGTTAAAAATACAAAAATAAATCGCAAATCGCCGAAAGCAGACACCATAGAAGGCACGACAAACTGCTACGCAAAAAGCGGAGACACACATTTTTCTTATCAATCTCGTAAAAAATTAAATCGTTCATTGCGTTTGATCGTCAAGTGCGACTTTTTCAGATTGTATCGGAGATAAAGTAACAGTCCCTTGATACGTCTATTGATTTTTGCTCTTAATTACTACTAATTATAATAACAACAAATTTTTTTTCCTCCATGTGAAATTCAATGATTTTGACAATATCTTACCGATAATTTAAATTTTATTGAAGTTTTTGCATAAATTAAGTAATAATTATAGAATTTAATGATATAATTTCACATCAACTATTCAGTTAATTACGTATATCGTATGGATACTGATGATTCTGGCTTCGCATATTCGCTTCTTTTTGTACTCTCATCTCAACAGGTTGATTCTTTGTATACATGCGAGAGCTCAATAATAAGGTATTACCTTTTTTTTTTTTTTTTACTGTAATGCTTTATTTAATGCTACTCTTTTTTTAATGCATACATACAAGTAATATGCATATTTTTGATCAGGATAAGGTCGTTAACTTACACTTGCATGGTTTTTCATAATTTACGAATAATTTTTATTAATCAAATTACTAGCTATTAATTAAATTCGACAGTCAATTATAAAGCTTTCAATGAATTACAATAATGGAATTACATGTAATTTTACGTTATATGACTTTATTAAACAATAGTGTATTGCAGACAAAATCTAACATATTTCATCTCAAATCATGCCTGAACGTGTATTTGTAAAGTACTAATCATATATACTAAATGAGGAAAATGGAAAATATTTCAAACGGCTATTTTACTCTAATAAATGTATTATGATCATAGGTAAAATATATGTATGTATGTATTTTTTAAACGATATACATTTATATACTGTTCACTGTACACAAGTGCGCCATTCCTTTAGTTATCGATTGAATAATACGTCGTTCCTTAAGCCTAAAACGCTAACTTATTTACATGCATAATAAATTTGATCAATTAATAATTTTTTAAATAATAATAATAATAATAATAATTAATGACGTTTACATTACAAACGATATTTTAGGCGTGCAATGGGAGACACTGAAGTAGGAGTATACACTTATAAACATATTTCGATTATTGATTAATCTTATTAATCTTGTGCCAAGCTCTTTAAAACAAGAGTGTTATGCTGAAAATTCCTCAGAACTGTTTTGTTTCCATCAAAGATTACCCCAACCAGTCTTATTATTCTCTTCTCATCGATTCATATTTTTATTTATTTTTCATTTATTTATTTATTTTTTTTTTAAGGAGAAGAAAGAGGGAAGCAATATCTTATATATTTATTATTTGTTATTTTTCTTTTCGAAGAATAAGAGTAAGCTTTGAAAATCAAGCTTGAAGAAACTTTTACAGCAGTATTCTTTAAGCCAACAGATTTTTAAAGCTTACATTAGCTTTGCTGCGATGCTCAGAAGTTTTTGTTATTCTGTTACAGATTCAATTCAGAAAATCTCTGCGTAACCGCAATAATACAAATCATTCAGTCATGTAAGTCTGTGTTGCTTATAAAAGCGAGTAAGGTACGCTTCAGACCGTGCAATGGTCATTTGGTCAAACAGCTGTAACACAGGTCACTTTCGAAAAACGTTGCTGTAAAAACAATGTTTTTTTTTTATTTGACATGGAGTATTTAAATTTAAATTGCGTATAAAAATTAATAATGAGTACAAACTTCGGTTGGTTTTTACTTTCCATAAAATAACACTTGTAAAAATTTTAATCCGTAATGGCTTATGATATCTTAGGATTTCCCGTTTGAAGATAGCAAAACGTAAGGCTCAATAAACACAACAAATCACAAATCGATTTTTATAAAATTTACAAGGGAAACAAAACAATTTTTCATTTTTTTTTTATTTTATTTAAAAAGTGATGTTAAATTTTATCAGAAAACATTTTAATGTTTATTATTATTAACAAAAAAAAAAAAAAAAATAATCAACAATGAAAATTAGTTTGTGAAATTGAGTGTAACAGTGTTAATATCTAACGAAATGTATGAGTGAAGTAACATTATCTCGCATTATTCTTTCATTTCTTTTTTTGTTTTTATAATAAACCACGTTAAACGAAGAACAAATTCAATCATTGAAAAATAAAACTCTGTTTCGACAAAAAGCGTCCCTTATTTATATAGCTCTATCTTTAACAACTACAATATATATATATATATATATATGTCCAGGCTCACGCAATCCCTGTCTTACCGGGCACGCCGTCGGTAACATGGCGACGAATCGATTGAAACGGAGCTCTTTCTTCTCCATCTCTCCTCTTGCCTTCCAACGAATGACGATGATAATAATCATAATCACAAAATCATCAATAATAATCATCATGCAAAATGTACACAAAAAAAAAAAAAAAAAAAAAAAAAAAAAAAAAAAAAGCCAGTGCAAGGAGGGAGTTAGACCGGCGGCAGGGCCCAAAGCGTCGCAGCCTTATCGGCAGAGGTGCTGAGAAACGAGAACTCGGTCGGATGCCAGCGGCCCGATATCACCTTGTCCTCGTGCTGCGCCACGACCACGCTCGGCAGGGGCATCGTCAGATCACCTGTGCACAGAAAAACAAAAACAGGGCAGCTCCAACAAAATTCACCGACTCGCCGATCGCTCGGATGAACGATCAAACAGAGACGAACGTCACCTTGGAGGTCCGTGAGCACGAGTTTGTTGTCGTAGCCGCCGGTGAGCAGGTAATACGCCGAGGGGGAGAACCTGATGCTCCTTATGTCCGAGGCGTGGGGCTTGAAGCACTGCACGGTCCTACCACCCCGTATGTCGAACAGCACGCAACTGCTGTCCTCGTGGCCGGAGACCAACAGCCGGCCCGACGGATCGACGCACAGCGAAGCCACCGGGCTACCCACCTGCCAGTCAATCATGTTCTAATGAGACGGGGTGGGGGGAGGGACCGATGTTCCTCTTTCCAAGACAGCCAGACCTCGTGGTGGACCGGCTGTGACGAAAAGGGAAAGGACGTGGAGGTGGGAATTACCCTGCTGCCGGGCACAGTGGCGGGCGTGATCATGTTGACGCAGCCGCGGGTCCTCAGGTCCCAGAAGCGCACGGTCTTGTCCTGGGAGCCGCTGACGAACATCGCGCCGCCCCAATTGTATAGGGTGAGGACGTGGCCGCTGTGGCCGCTCAGGGCCTGGAAGGGCGTGCCCGTGGCGCAGTCGGTCACGTAGATCTTGCAGTCACCGGCGCCCCCGCTTATCAGGAGGCTCGACTTGTTGGACGAGTCCTCGAGGAAGCACAGGTCCCGCACCGTGCCGTCGTGCATCGTCAGCTCGACCTCTTGGCCTGCGTCCACATTTTTAAACGCCGTTCAAACCACCGAGGAGGTGTGCGCAAGTTAGGTCATAGCATGTATGTATTGGATTTGTTACCTTCAATGTTGGACGTGTCGGCGTTGAACCGCATGAGCTTGACGGTTTTGTCGTTGCTGCCGGTAGCCATGAGCTGGCCGTCCGGGTTCCAAGCCAGGCAGTATATCGAGCCCTTGTGGTGCCTCGTCCTCTTGAACAGGACGATCGGCTGGTAGGTCTTGTGGTCTTCCCTGTCCAGAATCGCCAAGTCGGTTTTGTCGTTAGTACTTACGATTATTGGATGGTCAAATCGTCACATTGAATATACAATAACATCGAGGTACAAAAGATACACGACAATTGCCATCACATTATTTACATTATAAGATATAAATCAATTTATTTTTCACCTTCTAGTGTAAGCCGCGTAGCTTGCACATGAAATGAAAAGAAATTACCCTTAAGTATAATATATATACACACATCACATTGTGAAAATCTTAAGTTTTCATGATGATTGTATTAGTGAAAAATGAGCGCAAATGGCATTTTTTTTTTTTTTTTTTTTTTTTTTTTTTTTTTTTTTTTAACGTTGAAGCGATTAATGATTCATGGAGGTGAAAATTTCTTCTCCGCGGGTTTTACGCAATCGGAGGGTTATACGGTGTTTTTCAAAAATGAGGAGAAATTAGTGGATTAGCCGAAACTGAACGAGGACTCGAAAAGAATACCCAGTGGCGTTAAATCGCAGTCAACTTTCGCATTTACTCGTTTTGCCGTGAATAAACGCACGGTGCAAAAGTGCACTCGCACCGCGGCAATTACCATCTCGACTCTGGTTTACAGCCGCGATAAATCCAAAAATCGGCTGCAACGCGCAACTTATCGTGTATAAATCAATCACCGGGCATTTGCTGTGAAATTGAACACGAAACAGCTGGAGAACAATATCCCGCGTCCATCTACGCGACCAAATCGCGGGGCCTTGAAAAAATTTTACCGATACTCGATACTGTTTCCCACAAGTTCCCATATAGATTCGGTAGCGCTCGCGGCTCCTCGCTCTTCTCGTCTGTGAGTTTTCGAGCACATGCCTAATTAGACTCTTGTGCGCAATACCAACTGCAAGGCTTTTTGAATTTTCACTCGAAAAGTGTTGTCTCAACTTTCTTTGTCGATTTTTGTAATTAAGGTAGCTTTACCATCTCGTACGATCGAGCAGCCGATGGTAGAGTAGTGAGGGTATAGAACTAGAGCTGTCTATATAGACTCGAAAGAAGCTTTTATTCGGGTGGTGAGTAAAGTACGACGGTTATAAACATCACCCCAACATGAAAAATCGTTATGGTACTTGAGCTTGCCTCAAGGGTATTTTTTTTATCGTAAAAGATTAAAATTAATACTTTAACAAACAACAAGCAAACAAAGGACTACTTTTATTCTCGATCGATTGGGAATTATTTCCCACATCGAGTATGGTTCGTGTGAAAGAAAAAAAAATACAAAAATTATTCGAAAGACGGACGAACGGCAAGTTAAAAGGAGACCGTGGCGTATAGCAGCGCAAAAAAGCAAGGAAGAAAACACCACGGGCGAGCCGGCGAAACTTTCTCTCGCGCTTGGGGGTCTTAATTAGACGTCGTCGTCGCTGTTGTTCTCAGACACGGTTTTTTTTTCCTTCTCGCGTTTGAAGCCCGTTTTTTTTTTTTTTTTTTTTTTCTTGCTCGGTAGTCAGAGAGAGTAACACTTCGTTACTTCATTTACACAACCGTTGTTCGCGCGCCGGTGTCGTCGCAGATAGAGGAGAGCCACTTTCGTTCTCGAAGCCGCGCCTAATGGGACTGTCGTTGGTTGTTACCGATGATTACTTAATTGCTCGTTGTTGCCCCGCGAGTTACGCGCACCGCGCCGTCGTTTAGGGACACAGAACGACAGCTGTAAATTTCTCGGGCTGCTTTACCTGCTAACCGCAGGGTAAAGTAACGGGGGTAGTTTAGAGGGTTCGCGGGTTTTAAAGAGAAAAAAAAAAATTACAAACTTCCGTGGCATGTGTACGTCGCTGTATAATAGTCGATCGCGACGAATCGAGAAATTGTTATGGAAGATTGGCTCGCTGATACGTAAGGTCGTTAGGATTCTTTGGCCATTTTTAACAGGTTTTATAAAGTGAATTCTCGATTTCAACCACATGTTACATGTATGAATATTATCGTATATTGGATCGAAAGATAAGCGCTACCCGTGGGTACCGCGTTTTCATTGCTCGACTGAAATTGGAAAAGAAATGACAAAACGAAACTATTCGTTTCCGAGAAACTATAAAAAAGTAAAGATGAAGTAGCCCAGTGTCTTCGTTGAGGCCGTCACGCTCGATCCGAAACTTTCTCGGGGCAAAATGACGAATCGTCGCGGCTGTGTCCCGTTCCTCCGAAGATTTTCTACTTAAATCAACAACGAGCGCCCAAACGTATTACAAAAAAAGGAGAAGAAGTTAGCGCGCGCGGTGTATATACATCTGCTCGCTCCGTTTCCTATGGGGGTCTCACCAAATTGGAAGTGTGTGGGTAATGTTAACGCACGCGCGCGCGCGTGTCTGTACATGCACAAAGAGAGAGCTACCTCTATTTGGCTATGCTATCTTTTTTTTTTTTTTCTTTTGCAAGCTATTGTTTTTTTTAATAGCTGAAACGGAGCGCTGTGTGTATGTCAGTGCATTTTGCAAACTGTCCGGATTCTCCTTTATTGATTCGTAAAAGTAAAATCCAAGCGAATGTCTCGCGATTTATCGTCGCGATATTTCTCTCGACCACCGGCAAATCGTCGCGACCATAAAGTACAACGACCTCGACAGCGACGAAAGAAAACAGCCGTTTCTCAAAGCTCACGACCCCTGGGAAGAACATATTAAAACGTATTGTATACATTACCAGTTTTTTTTCTCTTTTTTTTTCACAGCTTGCGTATGTATGAATATAATATACATGAATGCGAGGCGCATGAAAAACAGCGTGCGAAACGCGTCAGGGATATTATTTATGTGCGCGAGTACAAGTACACGCGGAAGAGAGGAGTTTAGCGTTTTTTCCCGAGTACGACTGACAGGTGTCAGTCACGCGAGCCACTTATGTGTATGCTGATTTTTTTACAGTTTTTCTCGGTACTATACACCTCTGATGAATGTTTTCCGAAAAACAGGAAAATCGCACCGAGAGAAAATTTTCTGCCCAACAAAAAAAAGAAAAAAATTGTGACTGTGTTGAAATTTTCACACGATGATGAGTTACGAGGATGAAGTATATGGCCAATGACTCGTGAATGAACTTTTGTACGCGTTATCGTGAACAGCGTGAGATTCCGGCTTTTACTAACCGAATGTCGTCGAGTTTCGGGTAGGGGCATATCCGGAGGGTCTTTGAGTTGGAGCCGACGGCGTAGAGTTTGCCGCTCGGGTGAAACTCGGCGCAGCGCACGGCTTGCACGTCCTCGAGAGACGTGACCGGCACGAATCTCGGGCGCCCGCTGCCACTGCCATTGGCGTCAAAGTCCGGCCTCGGGTCCTGCTGCAACAAACGATACGATTGCAAGTTTCATTAGTTATTCGTTTATTTTTCCTTCATTCTGAAAATAAAATTTTTTAAAAATTGTTTCAGATGCCTGTGCCAATTTAAGTACACGTTCGCTAATCATCGCACACTTCATATAGGATAAGCTGAGACAAATTAGAGTTTCATACAATTTTACGAGGGTCATCGTGTATACCTATAATTATTATTCGCTGTACCTATATAATACACACAACTTCCGGTGGATCTGACAGTCACCTTAATGAAATGACGAAATGTCCGTATTTCATTGAAGGTCGAATACAGCAAAAAGGATAAAATTGCACGTTATTCTTTACAAGGTGAAATCGCGTGTAACGTAAAATGAGGTTTCATGAAAAATCCACGATGAAAACGAGTAACTGCAAGCGCGACCCCAACTTATAAATTTTCAACGCATTCGTATACATGTATACATAAAAAGTAGATATTATCCAGAAGCACCTTGAAAAATTCCCCATCGACTCGTACCTACGATTGTGTTTATCTGTGTAAATCTGCAATTTCATAACCATTGTTCGTTGCGAAATCTCACGCGGACTCATCCATACAAATGTGGAATGTAGTTATACGATCTTCCAAGATATACGACGAGCAGGCGTCAATCATCATCAGGGGGGTATATGTATACACAGGGGAAAAGCTGAAAACTCAATCTGGAAACGTATCGCGAACGGTACGAAGTTTACCAAACAACACCTGCATCCTGTAACGATTCCAACAGCACCTCGTGCTTTTACTTTCAACAAAATGTATGTACACTATTGGCCAGGTGCATGTCTGTCATGCAGCGCCACCCTTTGTGTCAAAATCATGCAACTCCGGGTACCCACATTATACGTTAACAGCATACACCGATGCACACTTTTAGTAATAATCAATTAATTAGGAAAAAATTAGTATATTTATTCATCTGATAATGGATGTCATCATAAAAACAGGCTTTAGGAATATCACACGCTCGATTTGTTTTAACTCTGAAGCTTTAAAAAGAGGTAAACAGTTGGTTAAAAGTAGTCATGTGTGCGATGTTACAGAATTTCATAGTGATGGAGTTAGCAATTTGACAAGTGCCATCGTGATAAGGCAGACCTCGGTAACTTCAGCTCCGTACAAAGTTAACCTGCATGTACATTTTATTCAGATTATTTTGAAAATTGTCCAAGTTGCAATGCACATGAAAATTACCTTTATTTGCAGTTAGATAATCACCGAAATTTATGTAATTTTACTCCATCTGTCTTTGCGCTTCTGTTACACTGAACAACACAGCACTTTCTTACACCCATATTTCATAAACGTTTTAATAATAGAAATCACACGTTTTAACAATAGAAATCACAATGATCATGTCTTATTTCACGTAACTATCTTTTCCGCCTTCTAACCTCAAAATAGCACCTTTGCCGCTTGATTTTGGGTTCTCAGGCGGAAAAATAGTACACGAAACTCGTTCGAAAAGGCTCCTTTACGAACCTCGTTACGTTTACCTCTCGGTTCGTAAATCGAAGCAAATTGTAAACTCGTACGCAATATACTATTCTTTTAGCCGTCTGCTTCTGAGTGTGTGCTCTGGATCGAAAACTAACGAGACTTTATTTATTGTATTGTTACATTCAAACATTTTACAACAATTCTTGGCACCACATAGTTCATTTTTTTACATTTGTGCAACTGCAATTTCATAATACTGATACTATTTATGCATATGTGATGATAACATGTGTAAATTTGACGAAATGCTGTTTTTATTTTCTTTATTAAGCAAAAATGACAGTAATTTGGAACCCCAGGTTTCCTATTTTCGCCACTACACACGCTGGTGTTGACTCATCTATCCCCTCCCATCACTTGCACCTGGCCAATACACACGGCACGCGCGTGCAAGGTTGCGCCCATCATCTCCCCCCTTTAGCAACCCAAATGAGATATCCTACGGGCTGCTCTCGCGCATGTACATAATATATATATGCACGTATATAAAGCGCGTTGCTCGTTACGATGGCAGCCCGTGCGCGACGATGCTCCCCTATCGCACATATAAGCGCGTTACACATAATGACGACGAACATGAGCGGTTAATAACAACGCGGCTGTACATATATACATACGTACACGCGCGTATCTATAAGGCGCATGCAACGAGCGCACCGTGTACTGTTACGGTGTATGTGTCTAAGGTAAGGTGTAACGGTAAAAAGGATGCTTTTTTTTTTCTGCGTAGGTACACTTTTTTACGATACACCCGCTGGCCGAGGCGATTTTATTTATCTTCTTCCTTCAGCGTAGGAGGTGGGCTTTCAGCCTCGAGAAGCTTCCACGGGAGGGAGTCCAGTTGTTTAGTGTACTCTATACGAGAGGTGATGGAAAACAAGTATCCACTCGTGGGTTTATCGACTATTACCGAGTATTAGACCAAGGGCCGGGGGGGTCCTTTTGTGAGGGTGCACGACTCGGTATGGATGGATTATCTAGTCTAGGGGGGCGTCGCGAAAACCCAGCCTCGTAATTAAACAGTCAACTTTCACTCGAAAGCAAACCTGGGATGCCTTTCTCATTTAAATATGGTTCAATAACCGGGGATGTTGGCGCGATGGGAAAATCTTTTACCATCGGGCGTGTATTAACTCGATGACGCCGGGATGTGGAAAAGTTTCACATCGTTAAGTTGGAAGGAAAAAAACCATCACTTGGGTGTGATTTTCCATCGATATTGTGCTACTATTAATATTTTTTAATGAAAATTAGAGATCGAGTTCAATGCTCGATTTCGCGTGTTTTCATGAGAAATCATGACTCTGTAGCATGTATGCATACATGTTAGTGTAATATAGGTCGGGTGTACGGAGGACAGGTGTCGAGCGGGCGCTTGCGGTGATAAATTCCTTTTGTCATTCGTTCGCCTAGTCACGTCCTTTGCACTCCCGGAGTCAAAAATACACGCGCGAATTTGACGCGATTTTTTTTTTTTTTTTCCGTTTAAATCACAGAGACACATTCAGCTGAGCAAATAATTGAGTATAATGCGCGCGGAAATGCTTAGCCGGAGTATTTTTACGTATATACCGTGATGCAACGATAAAAAGCGAGCCCCCGTGCATCAACCTCTGTAATTCCTTCGGGTACTATGGCGTGTAATTTTTTTTTCTCTCTCTTTCTCTCTAGAGTGTGGATTGCGAAACACCGATTTTAAATACGCCCTGTTTTGCAACAACTCTATGCACACGCGCGTGATTATTAATCGAAGTAACCGGGCGATTTATCATTATTTTTTTTTTTCTTTTATGGTAAAATTTAAGCGATTTCCGATACAAAATTATCGATAAGCACGAAATGAGTCATACGTACGCGGTTAAGACTCAAACGCTATTAATCAAAGAACTTTTTGTCTACAAGTATACCGATCGATGTCGAGAAATGCACGAGCTGTTGTGCAAATAACGGAGGAAAAAATTGAAATTTTAAACCCACTACGTTCAGCAAATTATTCATCGAAAGGCGAATGATGACGTAGCAAAAAACATGTCAGAGAGAGAATAAAAACTATATTATCGCTGAGAAAGAAAATCGGGAACGGTCAGGTTTTACTAGGAAACGCATCGTTTGCGAGTGAGAACGAGGTCGGCTCTTTGGCAGGAGGGAGATATATATTGCTGGAGGGGCCGCATGGATATATTTTTTTACTGTAAAATCGATTTTCGCGAGAAAAATATCGACGGCGTCGCTTTTAATAACTGGAAATAATTTAATTTACCAGTGCAAACGGTGTTGCGCTTCCCACATCGGGAAATGATCACTTGTTACTATTTTTACTACTTATCATCAAAATAAAAATGAATCATTTTAAGTTTTTCAGAGCGTTACGTGATTAATGGACGTTTTATCTGCATTTCAAATGGTTTTCTATACACCCGCGTGATAAAAATATAATGTACAACTGCAAGAAAAAATAAAAACTTGTGTAACACATGTGCTGCTGCATTGTGTACCAACAAATACAAGCATCCATCTAATTATACGCAATGGAATCAATTACAGGTTACCCAAGACGAATGCTTAATTTTGCTCACCAGGAAGGGGGGGGAGTGTGCAGGTGAAACGCGGAAAAGAAACGAAATCGGCGTAACTTTATACAATCCGTAAACTGATTGCACGACGCATCATCGGCTGCAATACCGAAACGCTGCTGTCGCCAGCGGCGAATGTAGACCGTTTTCGTGGTGCATCCGAGAAAAGAAAAGTCACGGCGTTCGATCATTGTAATCACTTGGTCGATGATGAGCACACGTGCGACGCGCGGCAATCGGGTCGTATATACCGATTTCTCGTTACCCCGGCAATGTTTGCGAAATATAAGACGATGAACCGTAAAGTGCTGGTTTTGTTTTCGTTCCAAGTTAGGTGCATTGTTGGGTGAAAAACTAGTGCACACTGTTTGGGTCAAAGATTTCTTGAAACCAATTCTTTAACTCTGCGGTGTCATTAAATCACGTGAAAAATTTGAGGCGAACCTACATAGTGATGGCACACGGGTAAATAAAATCTTAAAATTGTCAACTCCACACGCAAAATAAAAATAATTGTCTTTTAATTTTTCTCATGGTTTCATCATAATTTAAATTCCATACCACAATTTTCTATTGACGATAAAAATTGTTTTCAGGAAAATTTTTACGTTGACTGAGAAATCGAACAAAATCAAATAGATCAAAGAATGTTCGAGCAATGTTAAACACACTTTCGATTCGATAATCAACCGGAGAAAGTAAAAAAAGTCCCAGTCAAGGGGAGGAAAAGTTATTCGAGCGTCACCAGCCGACCGACGCCTTTCCAAAAAGTAAGACGAAACAAAACAAAAAAAAAAGAACCTCTTCCATCTCTATTGACGGTTAATGGCCTTTCTAAACAACCGAGAGCCGCGCGTACCGATTTCCAAAGGCAGTCGAACCAATTTGTTG